CAATTTACATTATTTTAAATCCATGAAACTAATTAAAATGTCTAATATAATACATACAAAAATAACAAAAGAAGAGTCATTTTTGGTTTTGGTCTGACAAATTCCACTGCCAGATGTGCGTTGCGGTGACATTCATTTCAATGGCACCCCAAACACGCCTCCAGCCTGCAGTGTTATAACCCGCACTGGAACATGTGGTATCGCAATGCCATGCGTTAAAGTGTGGTGCGATTGCAAAAAATGTGCACACAGTTTGCAGTTTTATTCTGAAGTAAACCTTATGTTTGTAACACTTCATTTGTGTTTTTTTTTTTAAATAACAGATGTTTTGTTGGTTTTTTCCGTATCCGATTAATCGAAAAAAATCAGCCAACTAATCGATTATGAAAAAAATCGCTAGTTGTAGCCATAATTTTTATTTTTTTTCTGATTAACTCATTTTCTAACGTTCCTGCACACTAGCAAAAATTTAGGCTGTTACTGTGATCGGTCATCAAGATAAAAAGGTGAATGGATGAACAAAATATGATGGTTTTAGCAGAACAGGAATAGAAGGGAAAGAGAAGAACATACATTGAACATGAGTGTTGACAAACAAGACTTGCTGTCCTTAGGTGTAACTCAGGCCTGTATGTAAATATCATGAGAATGTCAGGGGTGAGTGGGGTGATGACAGCACATTAGTAAGACACAGTGGTGTAAAGTATGAGACATAAGCGACACTGGACATGAATAGCTGCGCAGTCACCAGGCATTCCAGAGTCACATCACACAAGCTCCAGGTGTGCTTATGACGTGCTCACCATACTGTGACAATCACCAACCTGCACATGGAGACAATTCATTACTTGAATATCTTAAGGTTGATTTCTTTTTATTATTAAATAAAGGTTACTGTGTGCTCCGGTAGGTGAGGTAGGTACAGAGTGTGTGGGAACACAGACAATCAAAAATAATTTCCAAAAACTTTGCCGCTGTATGGGGGCAGCTCTAAATTCCCCAAAGCTCAAGAGATTGCAGCTTTCAGACCTTGCCCAGAAATATAACGCAAAGTTCCAATGTTGTGAAACCAACACGTCCTCTTGCGGAACCATAAGTCTAATGTAGAAGAAGGTATGCACAGGTAAACAGACAACAAGGGAACCTTAAGGTGACTTCTTCTACATTTTCGTTCTTCTGTGGTCAAGCAGAAGGATGACGCGGTTTTATTACACTGACGTTTTGCTTTATACCTCAGGGCCAAGTAGGGTCTGAAAGTTGTGATCTCTCGAGCATCGGGTTATGTAGAGCTGGCCTCCAAAGTTGATGAGCTCTACGTAAGGGGATGCACCATGTCAGATGGATGTGAATATCGAATGAAGACTGTATAGGAGCTCTATGTAATGTGGATGCACCATGTCAGACGGATGTGAATATCGAATGAAGATTGTATAGGAGCTCTATGTAATGTGGATGCACCATGTCAGATGGATGTGAATATCGGATGAAGACTGTATAGGAGTTCTATGTAATGTGGATGCACCATGTCAGATGGATGTGAATATCGAATGAAGACTGTATAGGAGCTCTATGTAATGTGGATGCATCTTGTCAGACGGATGTGAATATCGAATGAAGACTGTATAGGAGCTCTATGTAATGTGGATGCATCTTGACAGATGGATGGGAATATCGATCGAAGACTGTATAGGAGCTCTATGTAATGTGGATGCACCATGTCAGACGGATGTGAATATCGATCGAAGACTGTATCTTCCAAGGGTCTGATATATATAATATAAGGAAAACAATTGATGCAGTATGGTATATGCAATTCCTAGTTTGCTGGAAGAGACTTGGGTGGCCCTAACCAGCTGAAGCTTTTATCATGACATTCTAAAACACAACCTTACCAAACTATGTACGAATACAGCTCACCTACTGTATGCAAATCAGCAGCTTAAACAGCACAGCAAACTAAGGCACTTTATAAGACTTCCAGCACATGAAATGCTTACAATGAATACGAGAGCCTGCTGAGCCCAGTAAAGGAGGGACGCGGGTTTCTATGGAGGATCGCAACTCGCACAGTATAATCTCCCTCCAGCTGTGAGTACACAGGGAGGCGCATGGGTCACATTCTGGAGTGAGTCAAGTGCTGTAATAATAGCAACACATTGCCAGCGCAGGGTGTGGGCCCATAGCTACAGCAGGACAGAAAGTGGGAGGGGAGCAGAGAACGGCCAAGACAGAGGAAAAAAAGAAACCTTCCAGGGAAGGTTCAATGGATCAGACTTCATGTCTTTCAAAACTGAACGTTTATTCACACCAAATCCACTATCCAAGGCTTTTCACAACAGCAAAATGCAGTTCTTGGAAAAAAACTAATCAGGGGATCTTCACATTCTCTAAAGCTGGCCATAGACCAATCGAATTTCGCCTGATTTAGCACACTGATCAGCTGCAGTCAGTCACTGTTCAGGTTCTGACAGCCGCTCAGCATGCGGTGCCGAATAAGAAAAGTCAAAGTATATGGCCAGCTTTAGTTTATCAGTTTAATGCTTTGGGGGGGAAGCAGCAACAATGTAGAATAATAGCCCATATTGACCAGACCACCAAGCCCTCCTATGGCTAACAGTCCACTTCAGATCCTTGCGAGTGCTTGTTATCACATAGATATAAACCTCTTCAACTCCTAAACAGAGAGGCTTGGACAAGTCAATTCCTCCAAATCATACAGTAGCCACAAACTCAGTGTATGGCCAACCCTAGCCAGTTTGACCATAACATTGCATCCCCAGGGAATACATTAGTGCCTTTAGATTGTAAGCTCTCATGGGCAGGGCCCTCCTTACCATCTTGTCTTGTACTGTAACTGTAATGTCTTCCTTATATTGTAAAGTAGGGATGCACCAATACCGATACTAGTATCGGTATCGGTGCCAATCCCGAGTATTTGGGCGAGTACTCGCTGCCCTGCTTCCTGATTAGTCGAGAAGCTGGCCAATCTGGAAGCCCCTGATTGGCCGCGAAGCCGGCTTTATGCTTCCTCGTCACCTCATGACAAGGGAACATGGAGCCGGCTTCCCAGCCAATCAACTAGTGACGAGAAGCATGGGGACGGCTTCCCTGCTAATCGGGAAGCCGGGTGGTGAGTCTTTACACGGCGCCCAGCTTCAAGGCTAATCAGGAGGCCAAGTGGCGAGTCATTACACACCGCCTGGCTTCCTGAATGGGACGTCCAGTATTGGTATTCGGTATTGGCGACTACCGGGAAAAAAAATATTGGCACTCGATTCCAAAATACAGGTAACGGTGCATCCCTATTGTAAAGCTCTGCGCAAAATGTTGCTGCTATATAAATTCTGTAATATAATAACAATCTTGGCACAGAAGTGTTAAAAGTACACCGTTATTAGGCAATATTTTCTGTCTTGTCTGTTCAGCAACTGAATG